ATACAGGGGGTGTTTTGCCCCTGGGGGTATCTGGGGGTGGTGCTGCTGTCATCCAGTGAGTAGAGACCGGGGACGCTCCCATCATAAAACACTGTCCGGCCCACATGGCAGCTGTGCGTGGCTGAGAAACCTGCTTTTAATTACTGTCTAGGGGAATGGAGAGGAGCACTGGTAGCACAACGATTAAGCACTGGCTGCTAATTCAAAAGGTTGGTGGTTCAAACCCGCCAGTGGCTCCTTGGGAGAAAAGATCTGGTCTCGGAAAGGTTACCGCCGTGGAAATCCTGTAGGAACAGTTAGTTGTACTCTCTCCTATTGGGCTGCTCTGAATTGACTCGATGGCACACAAAAGCATAACTGAGGATCACCCCCAAGCCTGCACCCCCCATGTCTCCACCCCTGAGTTTTCTCCTTGAGCCAGAGATAAAGAGACCCCATGGCCGGTGAGTCAGTTCTGTCTCCTAGTGACTCTATGGGGCCAAGTAGAACAGTCTCACAGAACTGTAACTCTTTACTGGCACAGACAAGCCTCACTGCTGTCGCTTGGAATGGCTGGGGGATTAGAACCAAAGACCTTGTAGTAAGTCGCCCAATGCTTAACCCGGTATGCTACTAGGGCCTTTTGGAGTGGAAGAGAAGGGAGTCTTTTTCTCGGCTTGCTTTAGCCTCACAGAGAGGAATCACTTTCCCTTGGGCTCAGAATTGAAGACATGGCCCTGGAAGAAGTCAGATATCTGGAGGAACGTCCTGACAACTAATATTTAAAGAAGGGAAAGGAAACATGTTTTTATAGCGTGTGGGTGTGCCAGGTGTTGGACTAGACATCTTCAAACTCATTATGGTGTTTATTCTGCAAAACAGCCCTCAGGCTTAGAGGAAGTCAATATTATCCCACCTCTCCCCCTGGCCTTTAGGAAAAAAAAAAATCAGCGAGGAAATTGAGACGTGGAGAAGTGAGCACCCTCAAGGTCACATGGTTCAGAGATGAAGCTTGGATTCTAACCTAACCCAGGCGCCTCTAGTTTTCCAGCCTCTGCCGCACATCCGACACGGTTTTCCTAAGGCAAAGCTCTGCTGCCCATTATCAGGGCACTTACAGAGGCGCATTAAGTTATCCTTCTGTTTGTCCATCAATAGGATCATTCTCATATACCATGACAGAATCAGCGGCTAGGGAAACGGGTGACGAGGCGAACAGCAGCGCGTGCTTCTCCAGCGTGGGGATGAAACCACGTGATTTGAAGCATCCCCGTCACTGGGTGCTAATGACAGCTCTGATCTGAGCGCGTTACTCACTGCCAGGGAGTCCCCGTGGACTCACAGCGACCCTAGAGGGCAGGGTGGCACTGCCCTGTGAGTTCCCCAGACCGCCACTCTCCGCAGGCGGAGAAAGCCCCGTCTTTCTCCAGCTGACTTCCAGCGCATCCACACCGCGCCACCAGGCCACCGCGCCACCAGGAGGTTCAAAAGGAAACTCGCAGAGAGTTAGCCTTGAAGGGACTTTGATGCACGTGAGCTGGGCTTATGGAGAGGGGGTTCGTTGTTCTACCTACCTTCAGGGATATTTTTACGACAAATGAAAGATTTCAGCTGACACACTGCCACCCCTGTCTGTCAGTGTCACCAGGTGTGGCCTGCACCCCTCAGCCCCCCCTTCCCAGTGACGCCGCCGCAGCGCCCGACTCGGTTGGTGAGGAGACGCTGACCTCCTTTCCCCACACGCCTGGGTGAGCTTAAATGACCTCTGACTCACTAAGGGTTAAGCCACATAAACTCTTTTATGAGTAGTAACCATTTAATATGCCCTGTAAAAAAGGGCCCTCGCCATACTGGCTGCTTTCCCTGGGAAAGGGGGTGCCCGCAGGGAACCCAGCTCCAGTTTCAGTTTCAGGCCAGTCTCTGGGCCGGGTGGGGCCGCTGGGACACTGCAGTTCTGGGGTAAGAGTTGCTTTGGAGGCTTCCAGAAGGTCACTGTGAGAAATGATGTCTACTTGGAGCAAAGGCACTTGTAGGCCTTGAACGCACCCCCACCCCCTGCCACCTTTCCCCCAAGGAGAAAAACTGGCCCACGTTGTCCTTAACCTTGTGGGACTCTTTCTAACTGAGCTCTGCTAAGGCCTCTCACTCTACCTACGTGGCCTCGTTGCATTCCTTTGAGTTGGGCTCTTTCTCCGTTGACAGGTGAAAGAAAGGAGGCCCGGCAGAATGGAGGTGTTGAGCTAGAGCAGAAGTGTGAATTGTTCAAAGTTCTGCACAGGACGCAGGGACGTAGGATCCGGTGCCACTTGTCTGCAGCTCCAGACCCCAGGGCCTTTGCCCCATACTGGCCTGCTTGGGCTGCTGCTGGGAGTCCGGGAGCAGTGCGTGAGCCGTCTGTGGGAGAGAATGCATAGCTGGCTGAGAAGGGAGCTCATGGTTGGTGTGGGCAGGTCTTGTTCTTACTGAAATGGTCACTTTGAGACAGCCCTGTTGGGGGGGTCTGCCTGCAAGCCTTGCAGGGCAGCCTTCCCTTGCCCATCCTCCCCAAGCCTGCTGGACCAATCCCTGCATGCCCATGGGCTGGGCACTGAGCTTCAGCCCATTCAGGGTTAAATAGTAACCGCCGCACTGCTTGTGGTTGAGCCAAGGCTGGCGAGGAACAAGCCCTGCCCTGAGCAAACAGAGACTGGGCCATGTCTCCCACTCCCGGCCACCCCCTCTTGAGACTCGGGGGTTTTCTTTTTGCTTGAAGTCCCCAATCCGATCGCAGAGTTTCGGGGCACTTGCTCTAGAAGCTGCCTGGGGGGGAGGCCCACCTCGTGTGAAAAGGAAGAGGAGCTCTGAGGTGGGCTTGTTTCCCTGCTCTGTGAGCGAGACTCAAAGGGGTTCTGGGAGGGACTTTAAAGACCTCTCGCCAGTCACTTTCCTTACATTTCCAGATGGGGAAACTCAACCACAGGGTTCTCTGGTTCAGCTCTCCAGAGAGGCAGTCACTCTCCTCAGCATAACCCACGTACCATGTGAACATCGCCTACTTGGTGCCAAGTGCTTGATGTACAGACTCATTTAATGCCCAACCGATGTGCCCGGTAGGTTTGACTACCTGTACTTTGCCTGTGATGAAATGGGGGTTCAGAGAGCCCAAGGAACTTGTCTGAGGGAGCACTGATCTTACCTGGTCAGTGGCGAGCATGGAATCAAACCAGTTCTTTCTGACGTTGAAGCTCTTGCATGCAACACCAGAGAACGGCCTGGACTCTCTGTCCACCCCCTGTGGTCGTTTCCCTGTTATGGGGCCCACCGTTTCACCCTCCCTTTCCTTCTCCATGTCCTTCTTTGGCTGGTCATAGGCCCAATTATTTACCAGGGATGATGGTGATGATGCAAATAATGGTCATACATGTTTCTGCCCGGCCCAGTTCAACTCTTAATCACTGCAGTGCCCACATCAGTGGCTAGCCCATTATCGCGCTGGTACCTATGGGTTGACTACATCTGGGTATTTTCTGTGCTTCCCTCAGGTCTCTTCTCCACCTCCAGCCCTCCGCCCATAGCCACAAGCTCTCCACAGAGCCAGAGGTCCAGCAGATACATTAAGGGCAGGGACTTCAAGGGTTGGCCCTGCTTTGCACGGGCAATTTCAATTCGGGGCATATTAGTAACACTCTGAGGATGTGAGGTTTACCTAAACAGGCAGGACGTTCTCGGTGCCCATGGCTCTAAAGCTAGATCCCTCTTCCCACTCCAGCATTTTCTAAAGCGTGCCTTCCAGTGCAGACTCTGGCTGGTGCCCCAGAGCCTCTGGAAGCAGGCCACACTTCCTTTGAAGGATTGAACACATACCTGGGACTTTGCTTGGAAATGGGGAGAGTGCTTGGCACAAGGAAGGGGCTGTCACAAGTGCTGGGTCATGGGAAAGGGTTTTTTCTGTCTGCATTTTCTTTTTCAAAAATGTTTTGTTTTTTGTTGTTGAAATAGGTTTTTTGTTGTTGTTGTTGAAAAGAGGCCAATTTAGCAATTGGATACACGGGCAATTCAGGGAGATCCTTCAAGGGGTGCAAACATCTTCCCCCTCCTTTTCGGATGACCCTCCCACCATGACGCCCATGTCCCAAGCTTCCCATCTAACCTTTCCAGTTGCTGTGGTCAATTTGACCCCAGACTGATAGCGCCAGTTTGAAAGCACCATGCTGAGGGCAGACACGATCGATGATAAGCTGTTTTAAAACATCTAGATAGGCTTGTGGGGAGAAAGGCTCTTTTGGGGTCCTGTTCTTCAAACAAACTCCCTTGGCTTGAGCAAGTGGGCTTTGGGTCCCTTTCGAAGCTTGCTGTGTTCTCTTGTTCTGTCAATGGAGCGGGAAAGGTAGTCATAGCTTTGACCGTGAATGAAGGAAAGCAGCAGTGTCTTATGACACCCAGTCGATGCTTCTTATCCCCAGAGCTGAGGACTGCAAGCGCCTATCTGGACTGTGGTCTAGGCTCCCAGATCACCAGCCCGGCACGTAGAAGATCCCGCATGGACAGGACTCTGTGCAGGGCAGGGCTGCTCGGCTGGGTTGGATCGAGTGAATGACTGGTTTCAGATTAGGGCCCCGGCATGAGCGCCAGTCCGGCATCTCTCCTGGCTCGGGTTTGCATTGGTTTGAATTCCACTGTACACAGCGCCTCTTTGGCATTTTCACTTTTGTAAAACACCTGGGTGCTGGCCAGCCTCGCCCAGCGAGCAGGGACTGCGTTCTCCTCCCACTTCATTCCTGATCAGAGATTGTTCATTTGTGAATGGGTGGCTGTAAGAACTTGCTTCTTACCTGTGAAAATCGAACCCGGAACTCTTGAGTTTCCAACGAGCTTGGCTTTTACTGAAAAGACTAGGGCCATGTGTTTTGGAGGCCTGGGGGGAAGGACACGTTCTTTTTGTTTCTTGAGTCTTTCTTCCTATAGTAACTTTCTGACCTGCCTTCTCACATGGTATGTGTCTAAGAGGCACCAACTGACAGGGCTCTTTGATCCCCTGACAGATCATGATTCTGGAAGGAAGTGGTGTAATGAATCTCAACCCCAGCAACAACCTCCTCCATCAGCAATCTGCCTGGACAGACAGCTACTCCACGTGCAATGGTAAGAGGCCCAGGATACCAGGCCATCCCCCCGAGGAGCCTCCTCGTACTTGAAGGAGGCTTCCCTTCCCAACGTCATGTTAGGAAAACACAGGTTTTATTTCATGGGCAGTGTGGGGACTGGGGGGACATGGAGAAAATTCTAGAAGCTGATGCTCCCTGTAGGCTTCCCCATCCCTGGGCTCCAAAGAGCAGCTTATTTAATGTTTCAGACTCTCTCTTCTCCATCCTCAAGGTGTTGGGTTGGCAGCCTAGCAGAGAAGGTAGTAAAAGAGATGCCCAAAGGGCAGGCTACCTGTTGTAGCTTTTCAGAGTGTTTAGCTGGGATACCAATATAAGAAAGGAGAGGGGTGTGTGTGTGTTTGTGTACATGTGAGCACATGTATGTGAGCACACACAGCATAGAGCTGGAGGAGGAGGAGGAGGAGGGAATGGCAGCTTAATCTTTCTGTTTAATCTTCTGGTGACTTACTTCCCTATGTGAAGACAGGAGGAGATTTGTCAGGCTACCAGGAGCTCTGCTTTAATCTAGAACATTCTGATGGGAGGAGTGGGTAGATATCATCTTGAACTTCATGGTAGGGCTTAGAGAGGATTTAGAGATTGAACCTGCGGCTTATCATTGAAGCAGAATTGAAGATAGTTATTGCTAAATCAAGGGCCCCAAATCCCAAAGAAGTTAATCATAAAAGCAGTCAAGTCAGGCAGACAGCTAGCTGTGAATCAGAGGCCAGAGAAGTTCTGGACCTTAGTACACCCAGACCTGCTGCTGATCCTGAAGCAAGAGAGCGCTGTTCTTGTTTCCCTCAAACCAAACCAAAATCACTGCCGTCGAGTCACCTCAGAGTGACCCTGGACAACAGAGTAGAACTGCCCCCGTGGGTTTCTGAGACTTTCAGTCTTTATGGAATTAGAAAGCCTCATCTTTCTCCTGAGTCTTGGCTGGTGGGTTCGAACCCTGGCCTGATGGTTATCAGCTGAATGTATAGCCCAGGATGCCCCCAGAGCTCCCTCATGTTTCCCTGGACAAGTGGAAATGGCTTGTCGGTGAGCAGAGTCTGAGGAGCAGGAGGGAGAGGAACATGGTTGTTGCTGTGCAGTCAGTTCTGGCTCATAGAAATTCCCTAGGACAGAGTTGAGCTGCCCCCCGGGGGGGAGGGGTGTGTGTTCCAAGACTGTAATCTTCATGGAAAGAAATGGCCACATCTTTCTCCCACAGATTGGCAGATGTATTTGAGTCACCGACCTGTAGAGTAACAACCCAGTGTCCCATCACTGCCCCACCAGGCTGAGCATACCGTGCCATGGGAGGGTCGATTCTCCAGTGCACAGCAGATGCATGTGGAACTCTCTCCCTTCTCATGGGGAAGCCCAGCCACGTGCTTGAAATAGCTGAGCTTCCTGTCACCATCCCTCTTCCACCAGACCGCTGTCCTTTCTGAGCAGTGACGTTTCTGCCCCAGACCACCCTGTGGGCGCACAGAAAGATGGTTCCCAATAGAACAAGAAAGTTCTCTAGACCGGAAACTTTTTGGCATCCCAGGCCTCTGGACCCTAGATAAAGGCAACATCATCCCTTCTGTTTGTTTTGGAGAAAGCTGGAGTAGACTTTAGGAGCCCCCTCCCCCCCCAATCACAAATCCTGGTCACAATTGACGAGGAAGGGCAGATAAATTGAATAAAAAAAGAATAGCTGAACTCATCAGATTTTCACTCTTTCTCCGGAAACTTTAGGAATTTGATGATAGGTCTCCTGGCTCAGGCAGCCTTCCCAGTAGACAAAATTCTCTGGGTCTTCTATTTCTGCTAGGATGCTGTACCAACAACGATCCTTTCATTAGATCAGACTACACTTGAAGAAGAACATATGTCAGGTCTGTTGTTGCCTTTGATGTGCAAATCCAGCACTGCACAGTTGCACAACCACAGAGACATTATCGTGAAGAATAGATTGAAGATATGGAGAACCACAACAATATGCCGCATCCCGGGACAGCTCTGCGTAAGACACGAAGGAAAGGAAGGACAGCACAAACATCCAGGCTAAGCTTTGCTGTGTGTACATTTGGAAACGCTACTTGACAGCAAAGATATTGGGCTGGATTTTTCCATTCCCTGTCCCCACCTGCCATAGTGGCTTCCCCTTTTAGGGCCCAAGGTGAGGGGTTAGGGCCCCTTCTGCTTAGCAAAGAGATATGAGGAACGAAACATTCATGGTGAGCAGCAGTATTGGCAGTGATTGTCTCCCCTGTGATTTCAATGAACTTGACGCCCAGTTTCTCGTTCTTTTGAATTTGGAAGTAGTGCGTGGGTTCTGAGGGAGGCGAGCAGGAGTGTGCTTGCAAGTCTGCCTCCCATGGCCTCTCCTCTGGGGGGTCTTCTGAGCAGACCATGAGCACCACAGGTGTCACACCTTTCTGAGCTGGCTGGCACCTTGCCACTCTGAGAGTGCCACATACCAGTAGCGTTGGCATCACCTGGGAGCCTACTAGAAGTCCCTCGCCAGGTTCCCTGAACCAGAATTTTCATTTTAGTAATAGTCCCTTGTGATTTAGATCACATTCAAGTTTGAAGCGTGCTGATCTTAGCATGACCTTGAAGAAAAAAGGGTAGCAATGGTTTCCTGGCCCCTGCACTACTTTTGTGGTCCATTCTTGAGTTTGTGGAATATCTATGTGCAAGTGTAATGGCGTCCCTGTGCTTCCGCCTGGTGGGGTACCTGTGTCTTTCCCTAGCCCCTATCTCGCACCTTTCCCAGGGGAGAGCGCCTCCCCTTGGTTTCTACTTTCAAGAGTTCTGTCAACTCTGTCAAGTGGCCGTAGAGGCTTCCCCCAAGATTTGGGCCAGCTATTCATGTGCTGTGTGAAGTGGACATGAGGGAGTTACATGCATAGATTGTAGCACGTGCTGGCTGGGCTCAGCCATGCATGCTGGCTTGGATGGACTTCACATCTCCACTGGCATTTGAATGAGCTATCTTGGGAATGCATCTCACAACTTTTTTGGGGGGGTTATTTCTTCATCAGCAGGGAATTCTGTTGGATAGATACATAGCGAGCACTCACGTAGCAAAAACCCAGAGGCAGGTCTCAGAGGAGGATGAGACATAAGGTGGAGTCCAGGACCTTGACTTTGAGCATATAACCTACGAGGTCAAATAAGACAGTGCAGAGAGGCTTATCCCACCACCTCCTGATGTGAATAGCCCACTCACACTCACTCACAGCCTTCAATAGCAAACCTACAGGGCAAGGCAGAACTGCCCCCCGAGGGTTTCGGAGTCGACAACTCTTCATGGGAATAGACAGCCTTATCTTTCTTCGGCAGAGTGACTGGTGGGTTTGAACTGCTGACCTTGCAGGTAGTAAGTAACCTGCTACAGAAGGGCAGACCGTGAGTAAAGCCACTAGGAGAAATAACAAGAGATCCAGAAGTGTGTGAGCCCTTGAAGTCAAGTCTGCAGAATCAGCGGTGGCTTTGTGCGGTGGTTGGAATTTGAAGATGCAGCAATAGGTAGAATATAAACTGGGTTGAAGGAACTGAATAGAAAGAGGGCAAAAGCCATAGGGCACGTGGATAGATTGTAGCAACTGCCAGGAGGAGTTGGTGAAAAGCCTCAAAGCCTGGCTGGGTCATGTTGTGCCCAATGCCAGTGAACAGTGGGGCAGGGACTGAAGGTATCTGGGTAGAACAGTGACATCATAGTAGCTCTAATAACCAGGGTGGGACAGCGGGGGTGGGGAGTGGGCACTGGGATCGCAGCACACTTAGCAGGTGACGAAGCTGAACCATTGTGGTAAGAAGCCAAAGGACTGCGGCGAAAAGCACCTTCACCTCAGGCCTTACCTTTGATCAAAACGGATTTGAGTCTTAGGTATGTGTATGTGTGTGTATGAGACAGGAAAGAACAGTAGGAAAGGGAGAGAGGAAGGAGGAGGCAGAGAAAGAGCTATTTGGCTGTGGATAACAAGCAAATGACCTCCCGGCGCTGGAGGATCGCTATGAATCAGGATCGACGGGATGGCAGGTGGCAGTGAGATTTGGTTTTGTTTTACATTTTAGTCACAACAATACTGTAGCTGCTATGGTGCAAATTTTGCACGTGGGGAGAAGGCTTTCAGAGAATTTGAAGTTGTACGTCCCCCTCATGAAGCACCTGGTGCTGGTGGTCATGGTGGGTGCAGTCAGTTGACTGTCTCATCGAGACCCCACGTGGCAGAGCACAGCTTTCCCATAGGAGTTTCTGAGCTGTAATCTTTATGGGAACAGATCACCAGGTCTTTTGCCCATGGTGTCAACAAGTGAGTTTAAACTGCCAACCTTTGCAGTTAGCAACTGAACACTTAACCACTGTGCCACCAGGGCTCCTAACCAGTCGCCTGGGGGACAGTAGTAACATGCTAGGGGCGGGGCATGAAGGTGCGTGGGGGCTAACTGATTGGCTTCCACAATTCAATGAGCCTCTCCCAGAGCCTGTCTTCTGCTCCCCAACCCCTTCATAGATAGATGCTCGCAGATGCACATGTCCTAGGACGTCCAAGGTCAACAGTGCATCACCGTGTCTGACATGATTCCCCAGGCACAACCACAGTCACTCAAGGGCTGACCTTTCTCTCTTTTGCAGTTTCCAGCGGGTTCTTTGGAGGCCAATGGCATGAAATCCACCCTCAGTACTGGACCAAGTACCAGGTGTGGGAGTGGCTCCAGCACTTTCTGGACACCAACCAACTGGACGCCAGTTGCATCCCTTTCCAAGAGTTCGACATCAATGGCGAGCACCTCTGTAGCATGAATTTGCAGGAATTCACCCGGGCGGCTGGGACGGCGGGCCAGCTCCTCTACAGTAACTTGCAGCATCTCAAGTGGAATGGTGACTATCACTCTCCCTGCCTGTCGAGAGCCAGCTGGGACTCCACGGCCAGCAGGGTTCCTGGTCTCACCTTCCCAGTTCTCTTTCTCAAGGCAGGGACGTAGAGGGAGGTGCAAGAACAGGAGCGAAGCCTATGGGTGTGAGGTGTGTCTGATCCTTTACAAACACCTGTGTGTTGCTACATGGACCCCACCCCTTACAGTGATGGGAATGTTCAAGGAGACAGGGACCAGCTAGACATTTACAGAAGACTTACTTGCCTGCCAGGAAACCTTATTTTTCTTTCCTTGCATGATGGTTTGGTCTTTTCGTTTCTAATGCATTATGCATTCAAGTGTTGAAAAAGAATGTCCTCATGAAGCTGATCCACATTGCTGTGTGTACTACCAAGTCGATTCTGATGCAGGGCAGCCCGGGAGGACCGGGGAGAATTGCCTTATCGGGTTTCCTGGGATGTTATTTTTAGGGAATCAGATGGCCAGATCCTTCCCCACACAGGAACTGCAGGGTAGGTTTGAACTGCCAACCTCTTGGTTAGCAGTTTTGCGCAAATTCCTTGTGCCACCATGGAGGGACCTGTGGATGGGCACTAAGGGTTCGGAGCAGTAGGCAGCGCCAGATGGAGGTGGGAGAGAAGGCGTACAGGGCTGCAGCAGCCTCTCAAACAGGTGTGCAACGCCAAACAAGGGTTGGGCGCTTATGTGGACTCATGTAAGATATTTCCGCAGTACTTTATGGAATCGGGACTCCTTAACGCCCCCCCCCCCCAAATGTTTCTCTCCAAACTTCAAACAGCACGTGGGCAGGCCCCGTGAGTGTGTCCTCAAACACACACACACACACACACACACACACACACACACACACACTCCATACAGACCTGGAAGTCCCTGCAAGAGAGACAGCCCATCTTGAACAACAACTTTGACCGTTTCCCCTGATAATGGCTGTGAAAAATTAGCTTCTCGAAGAGTTATGGGCATCTTGTGATGTGGGGGGATGGGGAGCTGGCAAAGACACACACATGCGTATTGGCAGAACCTGGCCTTGGGCAGCTAGCTGGTGTTGGGCAGCACAGTCTCCAGCGCTGGGAACAGGCCTCCACACTGACAGGTGCCTTCGACACCGAGAACTGCCATCTGCCTGTGGAGCCTGGAGCTCTGGTGGCCATTGGCGATGACCTCATCCAGCTCCCTGACACTCCTTTCTTCCCACCCACCCCACGGCGGTGGTTGCTCACATTTTTGTTTTTTTACTAGACCCAAACCAAACAAGGCTCTATAAATAACCCCCAGGACTCTTCAGAAAGAGTAGACTTACACTTGAAGAATTAAAAACATTTACCTCCACACCTCCAATTAAAGGCACTCCTTTAAAACATTGCCCTGATTGAAACCTAAGGCAGGCAGGTCAAGGACGCGCTGCGGCCACCCTTGACCTTTGTGACTAGCTTGACCTCACTGCTTGTCACTGTAGCCTTGGGATGCTTTGAATAGCCAGCCAGACTCCTCGCCTGCCTCCCCACCCTGGTTTTGTTGCTTGACGTTTGGTAGAGACTTTATATCCATGTACATTCATTGTTTACTTATCCTGGTCATGAAGTGAATGGATTTTGCTTAGAAGCAAAAGAACTACTATTGTACCCATTTTACAGATGTAGAAACAGGGTCAGGATAGCTAGAGGGCTGACCTTTTCCCCTGAGATACTTGCAATCTGCCTGGGGAGAAAAAGCATTATATCTATTTGTGTGTGTGTGTGTGTGTGTGTGTGTAGACAAGCTTTGATACGTGATAGAACTAGAGAGGGATTGTAAGCAAACACTGCTGAGGGCAGAACAAAGGGAAGAATCATGATATTTATCAAGATATACTTCATAGATTGAATCTAATTAAGATTTTTTTTGAAAAAACAAACAGTTGCTGTTATGTTGTCGTGGTGACCCGTGTGAGTCAGACTAGAACTGGGCTCTGTGGAGTTTTCAGTGGCTGATTTCTTGGCAGTAGATCACATGGCCTTTCTTCCAAGAAGTTTCTGGATGGGCTCAAACTCCCAACCTTGCTGTTAGCAGCCATGCCTGTGAAACATATATACATCACCCAAGGGATTCACGAGTCAAGATGGGCTTGGTTAAATTGAAAATCCAAGAAGAAGCGAACTAGTTCCATGAAAATCGTTCCTTCGATCTTTTCATTTGCTCTGTGTCAGATTTTAGGGTTACAAAGGAACTTTGAGGTCACCTCGAGGCGTCAGTTTAATCCCCGAAGTTTAGAGATGAGGAAACCAAGATCTGGAGCGGTAAAAGGCCTCACAGCTGATAGTGGACAAACTGGGCTCCTGTCTTCCGGAGTTCTCTTCTGCCATACTGGATGCCTGTCTATGCAATTCCCAACCATTCCATTGACGTGGATTTCCAAACAGCTGCTCTTCGGGGGTTAGGAGGCTCAACTCGAGTTAGCACAGGCTGAGAAGGAAGCCCTGGCCCACACGCAAACAGGCAGGGAGACTTGTGGAAGCTCTTCAAAGAGGCCAACTCTGACATGGTGTCAGGATCAAACTTTGGCTCCATCTGGACCCTACTGACTTTCCCAATCTGTCCCTCACAGGCCAGTGCAGCAGTGACCTGTTCCAGTCCACACACAATGTCATTGTAAAGACCGAACAAACCGGTGAGTACTAGTAGCAGACCAGGGAAGCCATCTTGGCTAAGAAAATTCCCAGAAAGAATAACCCAGAAGGGGCAAGAGTGAGTGCATGGGGGAGAGTGGGAGCCAGTATTTTGGTGGGGAACCAACGAGACTTCTTCCCTGGTGTTCTCCACTGGGCCATCCCACCAGGAGCCTTCTCCCTTGACCTCGGGGCTGCTGACTGCCAGCCAGCTCTTTCTGATTTATGGGCTGAGGGTGAGCAGCCATCCTGCCCACTCTTCTCTGCCTCCCACTACTGATCAGGCAACAAACATGCAGCTCCCCAGCGAGGAAGCATCCAATGAGGGTCGGTCTTCTTCCTGCCAAGAGTGAGGCGATTGGACTTGGCAGAGGAGGAAGATAAGAAGCTCCCTCTTCTCCTTCACCTCCCACATGGAGGAGGATGCTGACCTTGGAGCTGATGTCACTTTGGGAACCTTTGGGAGTTCCCGTAGGGACATCCAAAGGCAGTTGTGGAACCCAACTCGTAGGGCACTTGGATAAGAAAGTTCATATTCTGCACCGCATTTCCGAGTAAGAGTCTGGAGTTCCATAGTGTCTGCATTTCATGTTCTCTTTTCCCTTCCAAGTCGCCCCTCTCTGCCCTGTGCCATCTCTCTCCCATGAGAGGTCCTCTCTCAGTTGAACTTGGAGAAGCCCTCTCTCAGTTGAACTTGGAGAGGCAATAATGGCCTCCAGGGGAGGATTGCCGCACTGGGCCTTGCGCCACTCGGAGTTCCTTGCATGTTGGCCTTTTATCCATGACCTCTCAGTCACCAGCCAGAACAAACTCGATGGCTGTGTTCCTGAAGATTTGCCATGGCTCTTGGGTCCTTTTGTTAGGTCCACATCCCTAAGACTGAGGTCCCAATGGGGTCGAGATTGGCAGAGGTCTCCCCAAGGGTGGCAGGCCAGTCTCCAAGGAGAGATTGGACCCAGGTGATTTGTGAGTCACTTGTACAGGGGTTTACTCTCTTTTATAAGGGGGCTGACCTGACCGGCCATTAGTCAAGAAAAAAACAGTAGCTGCTAAGCATGGTAATTCACCATTCCGAACCCTTCCCTGCCCCACCAGACACCAGGAGTTGGGCTCCTGGAATGGTCTCTGCTCTTCTAGGAGGCCTGCCTGCCCTAGAGATGGGACACAGGGCTTGGCTGAGAGGACAGGAGGCCTCCCCTGGGTGAGCTGACAGGTCCCCTGCCGGAGGAGCCAGGGATGGTCTTGGAGAGGGCCCAGCTAACTTGATAATCCCTCCTTGACCATCCAGACCTGCTGGTGTTGCCAGTTCAGAAAAACTGAGCTGAAGGGTGGAGGAGGAGGTCCACCCTGGGAGGAGGGGAGAAAGAGGCTCATGGGTGGGGGGCCAACACCCCCATCCTCTTGGGTTCCATTTGTTTTCAGAGACAACAACAGGTGTACGAGGTGACCAAACAAGGAGAGAGGGTGTAACCCCAAGAGACTGGGCTTGGGGTGTCCAAACACGTAGCTATTAGTTAGAATACCAGCTAAATCCCTGTGTCGTAAACAAGAAGACTTAGCCAGTGAGTCAGGGTTTATATCATTCATGCTGTAAAAACAAAATGAAACTCGGCCAGCAGCTTACCTACCTGGGCCCCAAACTCCAGGACCTGGGCAGGAGGGTTGCTGAGGGCAGCCCTGGTCTGTGAAGAGGCAAGAGCAGGAAGCTTCTCCAGGGGATGAGGCGCTGCGCTCATGCCAGCTCAGAGATGCTTGGCCAGCCAGGAAAGGGAGGCTGCTATTGGCGAGCAGCCCAGACGGAGCACTGAGTAGGAGCAGGGATTTATTCAGGGTAGGAGGTGGGGGGTTTCCTCTGAAACCAAAATCTGAAGGGTTCATCAGAGTGGGGCGTGCTGACAGAAGTGGGGGGGCGGCGGTGGAGGACAGAGGGAGAAAGAGAGAGCTAGAGCGAGCTTCTCTCTGAAATGAAGCCATGGTGCCCACTCTTAAAAGTCATTTGAAAAAAAAAAAAGTCATTTGATTTTGTAACACTTTCTCCCCCGCATCCTGCCCCCACCCCCTGCACCAATTTTGCTTTGAGACTTTTACACCACCCCTGACACCGATGGAAGGGACACCGGAGGGAAGGGGTGTCCCTCAGCTTGGGGTTGAGACCCTCTCTCTCGAGTTCAGCGGTGAAGAAGCTGACCGACCAGATCTTATCTGAAACAAACATCTTTCATTCTCCCAAGAAAAATATTAGTGGGGAAAAACAAAAACAAAACAAATCTATGGGTCTTTCGTCGTGAGTTCATTCAAGACTTTTGGTTCTTGGTGTCGAAATACTCTGGGGATTAGAGAGTAGGCTTGGGCACCCTCCTGTCACGTGCAGCCTGAGACAGTTCGCAGGATCCCTAATCATGGGTCTAGGACAGGCTTCCGCTGTGATAAGTGCCCTCCCTGCTCTCAAAACAACACAAGTCTAAAACTCAGGCCAGGGTTACCGAGAAACTCCGTATCTCTGGAAACTGGTGGGCGGGGGGTGGGGGGGCAGAACATGAACCTGGGACAGGAGACCAGAGTCTTTTTGGGGCCCCGCCCCCCCCCCCCACCGGGTTCTCTGAAGAGCAAGCAGCGAAGTAAGGGAAACTGATCCCTGAGCTGCCCTGTTTCCTGTCCTTTTAGACCCGTCGATCATGAACACCTGGAAAGAAGAAAACTATTTATACGACACCAACTATGGGAGCACAGTAGGTAACTAACTCCCCAGCTTTCACGCCCGGCCCCATCCTGCTCCTGGGCGGTCTAGCGAGGAGGAGCCTCTTCATTCCCTTTATCTTCTTGTTGCCACAGATTTGTTGGACAGCAAAACGTTCTGTCGGGCCCAGATCTCCATGACAACCACCAGTCACCTCCCTGTGGGTAAGTTGTCCTGACTGAAGCCCAGCGTGCCCCATGTCAGAGTGAACTAAGGATGGGAGCGAAGGACCAGCCCCTCACACTTCCAGGTGGTTGGAGTCTTTCTCCCAAAAGCCTGGGGAAAGAGTGGGGTTAGCCATTGAGAAGGATTTTGAAGCCCTTCTCGAATGGGTCATGGAACCTGACCAGAGGGACGCCTCCAGCACAGTTGTTTATCTCGAGTGAAGTGAGTCACGCCCCAAGCTTGTTGACTCTTCCTCTCTTTTCAACAAAACCTGGTTCTGAGGAAACTACCTGTTTATACTGTTGGTGTGCTCAGATGATACTATTCAGACGTTGGCATCCTTATGGGGGAGGAGGAGGCTGTGTTTAAGTTTCAACAAACTGCCTTTGGCTTAGGTGAAAGGGTGTCTAAGAGTCGAATTTCAGGGTAAACGATGTGGTGAGGCTCTCTGGGTGGAGGGGTAGCAATTAGAAGTTTCTAGAATCCTCCCAAAGCACATGAATCTGCCACTTTTCAAGTCTGACCCTCAGGGCTCCTCAGGGCTCTCCCTTCGGTCAGAATACCTACAAGCCGTGAACTATGTTCACTTTAGTTGCATCTAATCTTCACCATTTTGTGAAGATTGGATTCAACGGGAGGCTCTGCAGTCTGTCAATCACGGCTGCACCAAGCCAAGGGAAAGCCTGCCGGAGGTGTGGAAGGAAGCCTTGCCGAGAAGTCCCCTTCCCCAGTGGTGCCCTGTGCGACTGAGTTCATCGAGGGTTTCCTGCTGTCCTTCCCCCTGGGGGCTAACTTCTGGGTCTGCTGGACATCCGAGGCGTGTTGCTCTCTCCTCTTGGAACTGGCTTCAGAGCAGATTCAAATGAGTCTTGGTGAAAGAAAGCATGAAGTGAAACAACACCCCCTCCGGACCATGCCACCCTTAACAATCGTCATGGTTGAGCCCATGGTGGCAGTCACGGTGTCAATCCATCTCTTTTTGGCTCACCCTCTCTCTCATCAAGCATGATAACCTGGATGAATAGACCGCAAGTGCGTGAGACGATTCTCTTCATCCTTGTTGCTACGGAGCATCCGGGTTACGCTTCTTCCCACAGAGTTTCGTTCACTTTCCTTGAAGTCCATGGCCTACTCTTCGTCAGCACCCTAACTGAAAGGCATCAATTCTTCCTTGCCCTGTCTTACGCCTCGTCCAGCATGCGAAGGAAGGGAATGAAGACCCTGCGGCATGGGTCAGGCCACCCTTCCTCCTCCAGGTGATGCCTTGGCCCTGTAATGCTTTTAAAAAGCTCTTCTGCAGCAGATTTGCTCACCGCAAGACAGCATCTGATTTCTTGACTCCTGTTTCCATGGGATCAAGAAAGGGGAACTTTGACAACTTTGATCACTTCTCCCTTTATCAGAATGTTGCTTATTAATCCAGTTGTGAAGATTTTTTGTGTGTGTCGAGATGTAATCCATTCTGAAAGCCATGGCCTTTGAACTTCATCCATAAATGCTGCAAGTCTCCTGGACCTGAGATTAAGAATGGGTTTCACTACACTCTGCCCCCACCTGCAGCACTATGTGTCAATGTGTCTACTGAAAGGCTCCGCCATGCATTTGCCATTCTGGGGGAACTGGGATCACTTGGGGGAACATTTCTGTGGCCTGGTTGATACCTAGTCACGAGCAAGGGTTCCAGGGCTGAGGAAAGCACCCTCGGCCTTCCTTTTGAACTTCATCAGGTCGAACCTTCCCACGTCCTTTGGTTGAGTGTTGATTCATGGCACAAAATTCCAATTAAGAACAAGGCTCAACCAACACTTCCCCAGTCTCAGTGGTGTGAAACCCCAGAGGGCTCAGCAGGGCTCTGCTGTCCTCAGTGCCGGCCCATCCTTTTCCTTACTCGATCCTGACTAATCTTCCAGAATCTCAGAAGTGACGAGGCTTTAGAAGCTGGGTTCTGCTTTCATAGCTGCAGTTATACCACCATCACCTGAATCCACCTATTCTATATTTGAGTGAAGCACCCATTTTGTTGCGTCGGCTCTATGTGTGGCTCTACGTGTGTCAGAGACCTGCACTCCGTAGTGGGTTTTGATGGCTTACGGTGGATTCTCAGGCTTTTCTCCCACATCCAAGGACTACTCACTATCATGGAGTCTTTCTGACTCCTGGCGACCCTACAGGACAGAGTAGAACTGCTCCTGTGGGTTTCTGAGACTGTGAGTCTTTACAGTGAGTGCCCCAAAGCGCAATCCACTGCACCACACTACCAGGCTCCTACCTGAGGAACAGTGCTCTTACGACGGGCTAAGCGCCATCTTCCCTTACTTCCCTGCCCCTATTCTTGTCTGACCCACGTTGGGGAAAGAGAGATGCAGCTCATGTGCTCTATCAAAGGGGTCACTGAACACATTCATTCAGGGTCCGAGGTTGATAAATCCTTTGGAGAAGGAAGCCCAGTAACAGCCCCCCCCCCCTGCTTTTAGTGGGCTCTTTAATCATAGCCTCATTCACTGGAACTCGAACCATGGAGCCTGTGCTGATTACGGTGACCCAGTAGGACAGGCTAGAGCTGTCCCTGTGGATTTCCAAGACTGCAGATTTCCAGGAGAGCAGAAAGCCTCATCTTTAAGCCCAGCTACACCTGGGCCATTCCTTTCCGAATAGGTTGATCTCTGTTCGAGGGGGCCGGCATCCCCTCCAAAGACCTTTGCCAGGTGCCTGAGTTTTTAGATTTTAAACTCCCGCAAAAGAGAACACACTGCCACCCGGCCGGTGGCAACCCTACAGGACAGGGTCGAACTGCCCCTGTGGGTTTCTGAGCCTGTTAGCTCTTTCTCCCCTCCCCATGAAAGTGAGTGCCGTGAAACACCTTCCTATGTTTTCAAGCAAGCAGCAAGTCGCAGGGCGAGCTGAGGCTGGGCTCGGCTCCCTGTAAACTGATGCCCTCCGTGATAAGAGGCAGGTGGGGAAGCGGGCCCTGTTTTGATTTCTTGTCATCTGCCCATTTCATAAAATGGCCACCGCCACCGGTGTTCCTGATCTGCCCAATCGTCGTCAGCCAGTCACGCCAACTCAGGCCTGATGTGTTTATCCCCTGACTTGTTGAGCCTACAGCGAGGGTGGCACACGGTCTATTATAACACTGAAATTTGTATATCCCGTAAAGAACACACAAGGCTCACAGCTGACTCATATGCAAATACGCCCAATCTTTGCTTCTTGCGAAGCAGCTTGGCTGAAGTCATGCTTTGGCACTCGCATCAGGAGCCGCAGGCTCAAGTCAGCCTTTGCTGCCACGCTGCCCCTGCCCGGAGTGGACCTGGCTCTGCAGTGCTGGGAGCAGATGGGAAAGCCAGGCTGGAAAACTTCCCCCAGAGCAAGCCATTCTTTTATCAGAATGAATCCTTTACCGACGTGGCTCACTTCAAAGATCGTGACTTTGATTTGGGGGTGGGGGTGGTGGGGAGGAAAGGTGTGTGTGTGTGTGTGTGTGTGTGTGTGTGTGTGTGTGTGTGTGTAGGGGGTGGTGGAGGGAAACACCATCATATGAAGTGTGAGGTTTTTAGATCAAATGATTTTGGTGTTTTGTGGTGTCCCAGCTTGCCCCAGCACATCAGAGAGGGGGAGACAAACAGATCTAAACTGGAAGAAATTTGAGTTCCCTTTTGCCTTTGGGGTTTATTCCTTTACAAGAGGATGGTAATATCTTGATTTGAGGATTTTTTTTCTCTCCTCCAACCTGGATCTGTCCTAAGTCTCTCGTTAGTGAGTGCTCAACAGAGTTTCATAGGCTGTCATCTTTGTGGACATAGAGAGCCAGCCCCTTTCTTCTGTGGTACCACTGGGCAGATTGGACCCTCCTACAGTGAACAGTCAAGCAATTTTTTTGCAGGTGGGGGTGTGTGAACAGTCAAGCAACTTTTTTTTGGGGGGGGGTCGGTGAACAGGCAAGCAATTTGGGGTCTTTCCAAAGCTGGAATGGGTCACTCTAGCCGAGATCCACTGGCTGGCAGCTGGCTTGTGTTCAATGTCTCACTGGTCCAAGAGAAAATGCTGTCTTGGTCTTGCCAGCCTGGGCATGTAAAGTGGGTTTCAAGCCTCTGGAATTGCTAATGAAATGTCACGAGTGTACACATGCATGCATTTTACTGGGGAGAATAGTCCAAGGTTTCCCCCTTACTCGCCAAAGTACCTAAACCCCAAGTCATTGGTTCCCGTTCAGCTTAGAACCATTAACTAATAGGGTGGTTAATAGTAAGAAGCCCCTCCTGGTGGTGTCTGGGGCTGCTAACTGCCAGGTCAGTTGTTCAAACCCACAAGTCACTCCACGGGAGAAAGATGAGGCTGTCAGGTCTGAGGAAGATCTCCGATCTTGGAAACCCTACTGTGTTGTACAGGGTCGTTATGGGTCAGAATCATCTCAATGGCAGTGGGGCCGGTGAGTCAAATCTGAGACACACTTGGAGTTTTCCTGAACTCAGCCCTGGCTCTGACATAATGGCCCTGCATCTCTCTGGGATGCCATTTGCACTGAGCTTTGCTTGTGGCCTGCTGGGTAAATGCTGCTCTTTGTCTGCAGAACAACGTGGCCCTGTTAGAGTGATGGATCGCTTGGAAACCGGGGTGGGTGCCAGAGCTGGCGCAATATTGTCACATCCTGATGGGATGTCGCAACCCAACCTCGCTCTGCAGCTGGCAGGGAGGGAGAGTGAGGGCACCTTGCCTTTCCTGTGAATTTGTTCTTGCAGATTTCAGAGTAAACCGAGACAGGTGTGCAGGAGAGAAATTCCTAACCAGGGTGAGAGGCCTCTCTTCTGTGTAGACCATGTAAGAGCCCTGCCCTCCTGCCGGGACACTTGTGAGGAACGTTTGGAGAAACCTGCTGGGAGACCTGAGTCAAGGCCAGTTGGGAGATCAGAATCATCCAATGGTGCCTCCCAGCCCCCAGCCCCCACCCCTCACCAGGCCAAACTTACCAAGGGCTTAGAGAACTAGAGGCTCTAAACTG